TTACTATAAAAGACATACCTAAGTGATCAAAAATCTGTAAATATTCATAATAATGTAATATTTGGACATTTATTTCTGCTTATACTTGCAATTGGACGCGTCAAACAAAATTTTACGCATATGAATATAAAGGCAAAATTGACTTTTAGGGTCAGATTATTTTCGGTTTTATTAACAACCTGCTTTAATATTTTTCATATAGTAGATACATATGATAAAGAAATTATATCTCAAATTTGGTGGTGGTTGCTATACAGCAAGGGTATCAAACGAGGGTGTGAAGACATTCGATTATAAAATTTTACGAATTTTACTATGATGCAGATCATCCAAATTTTACTATATATGTTTTACAACCTCCTATTATTATGTATTAGTATGAGGTTAACAACTCGGAGTGTTAGCTAATTCTTCCAATCTACTAAACCAATCACTGGAAAATCTCCGCCAAGAAATAGAAGCCTTGAAACAACAAATGCACGTAATTTTTTTTATCAACAGTATAATAGTTACCTACACTCTACCCTTAAATTATTAATTATTATTTGTAATGCTCAGTTGACCCAAATATTTACTTTACATTAATAAGCATAGTTTATTGGACAAAATACAGTAAAAGTCATGTTATTTGTAATACCCCAAGAGGTATAAAAAGACTTGGTTTTAGATCAAGTCAGAACCATCATGTTCATAACAATCTTTAATTATTGATCTAATAATTAATACTTCCCAACACACCTGTAATAATATTATTATTATCGCTAATAAAAACACATAACATATTTTACCTTTAAAAATAATAACCTCTAATTAATTAATAAACCACAAAGGGGAACCTTTGCTAACTATAGCAAGTAGCCAACATTGTAATTATTGGGAAACATCTCAAGGGGACGCCTTTGGGATATAATTACATATATAGAACCTAGGGACCCTTTTATCTGAAAAGATAAAAGTTATATTTTATTGATTTTTGACCATAAGTCAGCGAGTAGGCTGTGTGTTGAGCTATAAATAACCTATTAATTAGGAAACTCGGATTGCACGCTTGCAGTACTATAAGTACCATGAAATATATATATTGGTCAAAAAATGAAAGAAAACCTGTGACAACTACAGTTGGAGAGGTCTTTGAACATGCTAAAGTACAACTCAACACTTACATACAGACAGTTATAAAGGGTGATGCAAAACGATCTAATTCTGGAGTTTGTTCCAAACAGATTAAGATTGAAGACAATGGCAAGGATAGATTGAAAGGGTATGTTGTAATGGTAATTGGAAGGAAAGATATTCTCATGCATTCCACTGCTATAATTTAACTTGTTTCAATTATAATATGGCAACTTAATAATAATTATGAGGTGTAATGATTATTTCCTTGAAAAATCCTAAATATAATTACTATCCTTATTCTAAGACTTTGTTTTTTTCAATTTATATGATAATAATCTATCATTAGTAATGATTCTACAAAAATTAATTAATTATTAATCTGATATCATTTATTGAAGAAAGGGATATAATTTCTATTTAAATGTAATTTCTTTGTTTACTCTATTTGATCTTTGTTTAAAGTTTAATATTGTTTACTTCTTTAATAATAATAACTTTGCATTACTTAGTTATTTGTGCTATTTTTTTTTTTTTTTTGAAAAAAAAATAGCTTAATTATTGAATTTGCAGTGTAATTTTTATTTGAAAAAATTTACAAGTATCACTCATAAAATATTATAATAAAAATTATTTAACATCAATTTCAAATATGCTGATATTCAAATAGAAACACGACTTAAAGACTTTTTTTTCAGGACATTGCAGATCTACAGTGGGTCAAGTGTCACTCATATGATCTTTGTGCATAATTTTATATGTAAAATCAAAGAAAAAAATTACTCTGGTATATACTAACCTTCCCGATTTAACCAAGATTGTTCCTTGAATTATAAAAAATCAAAATATATGGAAAACCCTTTATTTTGACATATTTTTTGCCAGGGTAAACAAATAAGACTCGAAGAAAATCTTAATGTGAAGTTGGTCTACCAGCTCTATAAGTTCTATAATATAAGAAATTGGATATGCACAATTCAATCTTTCGACTTAATTTTTTTTTACATATTAATAATTAATGCAATAGTAAGTTCTAATTTCCAAGCTTTAAATATTTATTTTAGAATTTGTTTATAGAAAAGTATTAATTTTTTTTTTATAATATATATATCACTGGATGTATTAGAAAGTTGTATCAAGCAAATTTATTAAATTTATTAATTTGGTGATATTTATTTAATATTTTCAAACAAAAATGAATTCGTATAATGGACTTCTTTCAAGGATGGCTATTAAAAAAATGTCAGTTAAAGATTTGTTGATTTTATATAATTTAAAATTGACATTTAATTTATAATTCTTAATAAAGTTTCTTATTTTGCACTTTGCAACGCCATCTATTTTTTTCCAATTAACCACACCAACACATTAACGAAAATTTCCTATCGGTATCCAACCTTCGAAAATGAAATAATATTAAATTGGTTATGATTAAAAATGGCTCCTCAATTAATTGAGACTTGATTGCGGTTAATTGCGCTTCCCATATACTTTTGGGCAAGTATTTATATATATATATAATCAAAAAATATAATCTATCTGTATATAAAAATTTAATCAATGTCCATATCGTCGTCATTACTATTACCACATTATTGCTGTCTTCTGCCTCGTCATCTTCCTCTTTGCCTTCATCATCACCATTGTCACCATTGTCACCATTGCCACCACTGTTGCTGTGTTGTCGTTCTTGTAGTTGTTGTCGTCTTCCCTGTTGTCATCGCTGTTGGAGTTGTCTTTGTCTGCGTAACCTATTTCTTTCAATTTTTACAGCCGTAACTCCCATCTGAGCAGGATATCATTTATTTCGATATTGTCGTCGTTTTTAGTGTTGCTAGCCGACTAGTTGTAGCCGCAACTAAAGATTTATATCTAGTTGCGCGCGATTGGATTTCAGCCGTAAATTTATTACAGCCTTAATGTTACTGTGATATTAGATAGTCGTGCGTGACCAGTGTATAAAATTCGATGTTGGGACTGTGTTATTTTGATTGAAATTTTTTTCCAAAATTTCTACTAGTTTTTTTTTTAATTAAATTTCTTATTGAAATCTTAATAAAAAATTAAACTAAATTTATATTATTTACTGAGTGAAAGGTAACATGTGCATCTTTTATGAACCATTAAGTTTATTAATTTAAAGATTTCGTAATCTAATATTTACTTATTAATATTAATTATTTATTAATCACATTTACATTTACATTTACACATATTCGCTCCCTCGAAATAAAATTTAAAAAAATAAATAAAGCATAGCACTATTTTAAGTTGTTAAATTGACATTATTTCATAGATGGATCGTCAATTAAACTTTTTTTTTTTTTCAGATAGATAGGATTCGTGTCAAATTTGCATTAATTTCAAAAAAGCAAAGGTTAATATAATATTCCATAGAATTTAAAAATCCACACAATTTTCAAAAACTGTTTATTAAAAAAAAATTTTTTTTTAACCCACAAATCAATTTTTTAAAGAATATTGAATTTTTCTATATATTAAATTACTTTTTTAAAAAAAAAAAACAAACAAATAAAAAGAGAAAAAACAAATAATTAATTAATTTAATTTTTAAAAAAATTTATTATTATTATTCAACAGTTACCTAAAAATTAATTTAATAATATATTATTAGTTAATATATCATTAATAATTAAAATCATGTCAAATGACTAACATTTATACTTACAGATTTAGCCAAATTTCTTGGGAAATCTACATCAACACCATTTATAACAGCTAAATGATATGACAATAATTGCAAAGGAATAATTGTAAGAAGACCTTGTAAACAATCAACAGTTTGAGGAACACGAATTGTTTTGTATTGATTCGATATTCCTTCATCACCATCATTACAAATAATGATTGGTTGACCTTTACGAGCTGATACTTGTTCAAGTGCACTTTGTACTTTCTATAATTATTATAATTAATAATTTATTAAATATATTAAAATTATGATTTCATTAAATACTTATTTATAAATATAGATATACTTACCGGGTACAAGGAATCTTTTGTCATAATAAGAATGACTGGCATATTTTCATCAATAAGTGCTAAAGGACCATGTTTCAATTCGCCAGCCAAAATACCTTCAGAGTGCATGTAAGAAACTTCTTTTATCTTCAAGGCACCTTCGAGACATGTGGCATGTTGATAACCACGACCCATAATCAAAAGACTTTTTTCTTTGTGTAAAACATCTTTTGCAAGTTGTTCTAACTCTTTATCAAGAGTAAGAATTTCTTTTATATGGTTTGGTAATTTGTTAAGTTCGCTGATTATCTCATTACGTCTTTGTGTCATTGATGATCTGTCTTCACTTAATTGAATAGCCATCATGACCAATGAAATATATTGAGACGTATAAGCCTAAAAACAACAATGATTGTTATTATTATTATTATTATTATTATTATTATTAAGTATTATTAAATCACAATATTAACAATGAAGAAGTTGTTAAATTTTTTAATTACTTTTGTAGAAGCAACTCCAATTTCGGGACCTGCATTGATATGAACACCACAGTGTGTTTCACGTGAAATGCTAGAACCGACAGTATTTGTAATACCTAAACACAAAGCTCCACGTTCAAGACAATATCTTAATGCAAGGATTGTGTCAGCAGTTTCACCAGACTGTGAGACAAATACACAAACATCATCTCTGAATATTGGAGTTTTTCTATCCAAGAAATCACTGGCCAATTCCACAGAAATGGGAATTTCAGTTAATTCTTCAAAAATTGCACGTGTCTAATTTAAAAAAAAGATTTTTTAAGGAAATAATATATATATATATTTAAATATGTAAAAGACAAATATATATATATGTGTGTGTGTGTGTGTGTGTGTGTATATATATAACAGAGATAACACTTACAGCCACGCAAGAATGATAACTTGTACCACATGCACAGAAAACCAAACGTCTACAACGTCTAATAGTTGCTAAATAAGCTTTAAGACCACCAAGCGTCACCTTATTATTTTCAAAGTTGACACGACCACGCATAGTATTTACCACAGATTCAGGTTGTTCAAAAATTTCTTTTTGCATAAAGTGATCGAAAGATCCTTTCATAATTTCTGCAAGTTCAATTTCCAAAGTTTGAATGGAACGAACAGCTGATATTCCATCATCGCGTCTTAAACGATGAATATGTAATTCTGTTTATTATTATAGTCATTATTGTTATTTTATTATTATTGACAAAAAAAGATTCCAAGAAACTTCAATTTATATATCAAGGTGGAAAAAAATAAAAAAAAACGAATTACCTCCTTCACTCATATGCCCTATATCATCATCTTCTAAATAAAGAACTCTTTTTGTATGTTCAACAATTGCAGAAGGATCGGATGCAAGGAAGTATTCGATAGGTTGAGGTAAACCATCTTCACTAAGAAAAGCACGTGATTGACTGCGTCTGAGTTTAGGATGACCATCAGTTGGAGATGTTAATAAATTCGGTTCAACTTTATCATCTATTAATGTTGTTAATATAATGATATAATGGCATTGCATTAAATACTTTTGGTATATATGTGATTAGTGATTGTTGATAATAAATTAATTAATTAGTACATACCTGTTCCAAATTCAACATCAACAAAGTCAACTTTTAATTTTTTTTCTGTTTTTACACCAATTAAAAGAGGAGATCCACGACGTGTTGCAACGATTTCATTTGGAAAATGAACACTTTTAAAGATTAAAGCAAATGCTCCTTCCTATACACGTATATAAATAATTTATTCACAAAAAGGAAAATAAATAAAAAGTTTTATTTTTTCCCATTGCTAAAAAAAAAGAAAAAGAAAAAGAAAAGGATTGATAACGGTGATGATGACGATAATGATAATTACCAATTCTTTAACTACACCTTTAACAAGGGAGGTGAAACTTAAATTTTGATTAGCCTTTTGAGAATCATATAAATATTTAGCAAGTTTAGCAACAGCTTCAGTGTCGGTTTCAGTTTCAAATATGTAATTTTTTTTTTCAAGAACTAATTTAAGCTCTTTATAGTTTGTAATAATACCATTATGAACAACGGTAAATTCGGCCTTTGGATCGGATCTGTGAGGATGTGAGTTTGTTGACGAAGGTTCACCGTGAGTAGCCCAACGAGTATGAGCCATACCACAATGATTTACAAATTGTTTTTCAAAATCAACTTGTTGCTCCGAAACAAATTTTTTTAAAGCACCAACTTTTCCAACTTGTTTATATATTAAAACTTCTTCAGATTCATCACCATCAACTGCTAACCCTGCCGAGTCATAACCACGATATTCCAGACGAGCCAAACCACTGACAAGAGTATCAATTATTTCTTTTCTATCCTTTGTTAATAGATAATTAGAATATGCAAATATACCACACATTTTGATCTAAATTAAGTTAAATTTTTTTTTAAAAAAATAATTTTTGTTGCAATTAACTAGACGATACAAACGATTTATTAAATAAAAAATGTATTATGATATGTTTATATCTTATATATGTTATGTGTGAATTATGTATTGCGTGTTTTAAATATATATTTTTTGTATGTTCAAGTTTAATTTTATTTATTAATATAAGAGGTATGATTAAAATTTTGAAGAGAGAAGAAACATTTGTTGGAGTGGGTAAGGGTGGTATTTATAGCTTTTCATTTTCAGAAATTCTAGGGGTGCAAAGAAAAGTGGAATTGACCCTGAATTTTGATGGTTTAAAAAAAACGACGAATGAAATTGATTAATTTGATTGATTAATTATATGTCAACAAAAATCAATATGATCTTTTAAAGCTTTTTTATTATTGGTTTGTGAATATCGAATATTGTCGAATGTAAATGAAGAATGTAAAGAAATGTGTAAACATGTATGTGAAAATTCTTTTTTTAGATTTAATGCGAGCAAGTGTAACATTAATGTAATACAAATCAACATGAAAAAGAAAAACAAAAAGAAACTCCTAATATTTATTTTTTGATTCATTGCCGAATTATGCTTAGATTGCGCAAGTGTAAAGTTAATCTTCCAACCAATCATTGTCATCATCGTCAAGAAGAAAATCCTCGTTCTCATTTGGTTTTTTTAATTTCTTAATATCTTTAATATCTTTCATTACAATTAATCTATCATATAAGTGTGGAAAAAAATCTCCTCCGTCTACATTATTGTTTTCCCATTTAATATTATTTTTAATTTCTTCTTCTTGTTCTTCTTGATGATGATGATGATTATTATTATTACGATAATAGATTTTCACTAGAGTTATTTCTTTTTCATTTTTGAAAAATAAATTTGCAACAGTTAAAACTTGTCTAGCTGTTGAAAGATGAATAAATCCATCATCAATATCCAATTGTGTTAACGGCAGAGTGTAATTAGATAGAGAAGAAATTAAAGACGGTGTAGGGGAAGAAATTGAAGGTGGTAGTTCATGTTTTGTTGAAAGAATTTTGTAAAGATAATTAACATTATTAGTTGTTAACATTTTTTTTCCCCTAAAATTTTTCCGTGTGTGTGTGAATTATCTATCACCTTAGATTTGTTACACGCAATGTTTTTCGGAGGAAAAAAAAAAGGTTTTTGATCGAATATTTATTGTCTTTCTTACTCGACAATTTATTAAATGTTTAATAATCATTTTTTTACGTTGTACGACATAAAACAAACCTAACTCATATTTCTACCCAATCAAAATAAAGAACGGATTTTTTAGTGTTTTATCAAAAAAATATTGGCCAAAAAATAAATTTTCTTTTTGGTTTTTCATTTCAAAAAAAAAGTGCTTACTATTATTATTATTGTGAAGATCTGGAATAGATAAAGCTTTTAGAAGAAAACAATTAATTATTTGCCAAAAAAAAGCAAAGAAAAAATAATTATTCGAATAAAGATGATAGATAATTGCAACAACAAAACCAGACAAAATGAACATTTGCATTACAATAGATTTCAGCTTCAAAAATAGTTTAACATCGCTATTATATTATTAACATGATATAACAATTTTTATAACGTAGTGAGTGATTGAGTGATTGATTTTATTCGCTGATTTTGTTTGAACCCCAAAATTCAGTCAATAACTTTATACTAGCAAAAACCCATTGATTTGACGGGCTATTGAATAGTAAAATAGTTTTTTTAGTGGAGAAAAATTATTTTTTTAGAGTTAGTTATCATTCTACTGACCAGTTTACACATTAAAAATACAATAAGATATAAGGTTTGAAAAAAGGACCCCAAAAACCAAGTCGGCTGATATGTATTGATTTGTAATCGATTTTTATATTGCGAGTAGCTTTTCTGGTCAATCTTTATTGTTTTACATTTATGGCCGAGTTTGAGTTAACTTTTTAGCTAGACTCTTTGATTAATCGCAAGCCTTCATATTCATTACTCGTCAATTATATTTTATGAATTTATTTAACAATTATCCTCTTGTACCTAAAAAGCTTCGGCAAATATATAAGCCCACTTTACGACACAAATAATAAAAATACGAAAGGGGCTAGATCACATGTCCGAGACGATTGGATCTTTTGATTTTTAATTTCTTTGCATAAGATTGTTGGAATTATTTATTTAGAATTTATACTTTACATATTCTAAAATATGCAATTATAACGTTAATAAAATCCTTTACCACATCTAGAATTTCTTTACATCATGACCAATCTTAGCCCACCTTTAATGTTATTTTTATTATTAAAAATAAAAATATGCTGATGCAGGACAACAAATTATTTTGTTACAGACTTATTGACAGTGTATAAATTCCAGTGTGTAACTAATGCTGATTTCTACAAATTTAGAAACTATCTGCAGAAAACTACTACTATATTAATATAATATGTTACACCCGCACATTCCCACATTATTATACACTGCTTGTTGATCGTGCTTTTTTAATTTTTTACCCATTAAAGGGAATTGCCAAATGTGGATTATGTTTAGAACGATATAAATTTTTGCCGATCACTTTAATTGATCAACAACATCCACCCCCTAAATGTTTTAAATATTCAACAACTGAATCGTTGATAATGACGATGGCATAAATTTTTTTTTTTAATTTATTATACGTTTCAAATTGGTTATTATGTTATAGGCCACAAATTGGGACTTCCAAATTAGGAAGGTACTGTATGCAAAGTGAGTCTCGGTTAGCGAATAAATTTCAAAACTATAATTATTTTATCTCGCTTTAACGGATTTAACGGATTAATATTAATGCATTCGGTTTACCAAATATTTTTTGAAAATCCATATTAAATTTTTTCTCGATAGTCCAATTTATAATGGCACGTAATAACGTAATGTATTATTAATATTAATAATATAAAGAATTAATTTATATAATGATGTGTTAATTATAAAGACAATATTGTGAGATTGCATGTGTATTAAAGATCGAACGTTCGTTAATGGTGATGCTACTATGATTCTAATATAATGTCATAATTATAATTAATTTTCTTTATACTATTTTTAAAATAATATTAATGATTATTTATCCAATTATGAAGTACCCAAGAAGCAAAAACAATGTCGAATTGACGAATTATGAGTGAAAATGATATTATTATTTTTATATATATACATATATATTTATTATTATTGTATGTGTTTAATTTATAAACTGATTTCGATCATAAGTTTCGCTTTTGCGGTTTAATGGATAAATTTTCTGAAGAAAGCATCAAGCCGAGACTCATTTTGGTATAGTAATAGGATTTTCCTAATTTTATTTTATTTTATTGTTATTGGCCTTTTTTAATTTTCCTAATTAATGCCATGATAATGGTAGTTGTGACAATTTATGATTATTCCTTGTAACGTGTTTTTACATCATTTATTTTATATAATATAATAATAGATTTTAGTAAATTTGCATATTAATATTCTAGATGATCTAATACCAATGGTCCTATGTTGTATAGTTAAAATTTTGGGTGGACATGAAATTCTTGGCTAATTTGAATTTCACATACGTGAATTGCAAATTCACATAAATTTCATTTTCATCCACAACAGTACCAAATATTCGCGTAAAGGAGAATTTTTTCCGGATGAGGGAAGCATTTTATTGGCATGAACAATGGAGCCTATCTGATGATTACATTTATACGGTATGTGTGATATAATCATCCAGAATCGAGTTAATTTACTTGAGTTGATATAAAAATAAAAAATATATTTCTTTATTATTAGAGTAGTTTTACAAGAGAATAGAAAATCAAATTCAATTTAAAAAAATTTATCCTAATACTTCCAATAAACCAGCTAAAATAAATTCTATAAAGAAATGATGACAAATATTCCAAACTATCTGATATAAATATTTTGGCGAGAAGACTGTCCAAATAAATAAATGATTTCTTAGAATTGTGACTGCTATGGATAATATGAATAATGATAACGAATGAAATGTTGATGTTGTATATAAATAATTTAAAAATAATGATAATGATAATGATTTTGATTTTGTTCGAAATGATTTTAAATTATTTTTTGCTGATAAATCTTTTTTATCGTCATAATGATGATGACGACGATGATTATTATTATTGCTGTTACTAAATTTGATTTTAACGTTATTTCTGATTATTTTTCCTGTAATAACCCACCATATAGGACCTGACCAATTTATTAAGAACGTTAATAGTCCAACTAATCCTACATTATATTCTTCAACTCCAGTATACGCATTACTAATATCAATTGAAGCTAATGAATTGGAATTCCCTAATGAAAAGAAGGAAAAGAATTGTAATGATATTAAAATAAAATCTGGGAAAATATTACTACTATTGCTATCACTATCGTCATCATCATTATCATCATTGTTTTCTTTCAAGTCATTTGTTGAAATGATTTCATCAAAGATTTTCTGATTTAAATAAAATTGAATATAAAATAATATAAATAAAGGAATATTATGTAGCTTTGCTAATAAAATAAATAAATATGTGAATAGATTTAACAATAGGTTTGTAAAAATATTTGTATTATCTAATAATTATAAAGTTTATAGAGCAAGTATAATTAGCAATTGTTGTTACTTTAATTATATTCAAAAGAAAAAAATATTTAGATATTTACCTTTCTTATATTGATTGACAATTATTATTAGTATCATTAAAATAATAAACATCTTATAAATAAACCTTGCCAACATTACTTGATTATCAATTTGTATAATATATGATATTAGTTTGAACGTATTTGGAAATAAATCAATGCTTCCATTCATTTCTAGTTTATATTTAACTAAAGCTAATGTAAGTAATGTAAGGATCAATGATGAGCCAAACCCAAAAATTTTTAGAATTAAAGTGAAGAAATAATTTTTTTCATCTTTAATTTTCAATAAAAAGAAATTATAAAATTGGGAAAAAGTGATCAGGAAAAGTCCACCAATAGTTGTGAAAACTAATGTCCACATTAATCCTACGTGTGTAGTATTCAAATAAAATTTTAAATCAATTTCGCCCGCAAATTTTTGTCCTTAGGTTTTTTTGTGGAGGGAAATAAAATCAATTAATCAATCAATCAATCAATCAATCAATCAATCAATCAATCAATTAATAATTTCATTTTTCAATTGTTTGTCAAAAACTTACCAGTTTGATTCCAAATTCTTATAAAACGTACGAGTACTAATTGTCCAATTAAAAACAATAATAACTTATTATTGGATTTCATTTTTCCGGAACTATTTAAACTATATATAAATATAACATAGAATAATAGATTGCATTAACAATTATTCAATTGCAAAAATAATAAATCTCTCAAAAATAAAAAATAATAAATAAATAAATACCTTCTAAAAAATATTACAGTCCATAATGTTTGAATCCAAAAGTACCAAAACTGATGCTCCTCCTCTATATAACTACTAGCAAACATTGTTATACAAAATACTAAAGTTCCAATCACAGAAAATAATTCTGCTTCTGATTGATTAGAAATATGGTGACGATTATGATAATGGTTCATTCCAATCATTGCAAACCATATTACTGAAAATCCTAATAATAATAACCCACTTAACATTGAAAAAAATATCATAATCACTAAAACTTGATGTAAGTTTACTCCTAGATTCATTTATGAACTACATTATTAAATTAAATATAATATATATATTAAAAAAATATTAAAACATACCATTCATAAAAAAAAAATTTTTTTAAATCATTTTCTTACTTTATCATAACTGGAGAATGCCTTTTGAATATGATCTTTGTCTTGAGTAAACAGTGCTTTTTTGTGATAATAATATCCCAAATTAAAGAAACATTGTAATCTTTCTTGATCATTATTAGGAATAGCACTACAGATATCTTTACTTGGTTCATTCGAAATGTCCGGATTACGATCAAATGATTTCCATGTTGATTTTAATATTCCTGCAAGTTGATATGAATTCAATTGCAGGAGCCTTAATTTTTCAAAACCTTTTTTAAAATAGGGTATTATTATTAAATTTACCAATTAATTAATCAGTCAATAAATCAATCAAAACACACCATCAATATTTCCAAAAAGATCCAAAATAACTTTCCCAAGATTATTAATTGGTAATGGAAGTCCAAAGAAAAATGAAATAGTAGGTACAAAATCAATTTGATCTACTACTTTATAATATTTATAAGAATTTGGATCATGATTTACTGCATTGAATACTTTGTGCTGTTGCTTCATTGAATCAAATTTTGAACTTATGAAAAGTAATGCCTGAAATAATATCAGAATTAATAATTAAAATGAAAAATTATCTTTCTAAATAAATAAAATGTGTGTCTATAGAAATTTCTTTTGAGGAATTTTCAAATAATTTAAAATCATACATATTAAGGTGTTTGTCACATACTGTTGAAATTTCACCAGCAGATGATCCACCATGATTTCCTGCCTTTAAGTTGAATATTTTAATATCTGGTAAGCTCAAAAATAAGTAAAAAAAACTAATTAACCAAACAAACAATAAGTAACAAATTTAAACCTCATTCATTCCATGATCTCCACACAATACAAGAAGAGTGGGTTTAGAATTTGGATTATTGTTTAATCTTTTGCTATCTTGATCCTTAATTATTTCAAATATAGTTTTTATTACTTTATCCATTTCATGCTGCTTAGGTCTCATAAGAGGACTTGAAAATTTTTTTAAAATAAATAAATAATTAATCTTAAAATTTTTTTTTTTGGAAAAATGTGTAAATTAATAATTAAAATAGTTTTACCTATGTGGACCACTTGAATGTCCAATATGGTCTAATCCAAGGTAATGGAATATCAAAACCTCCCAGCTTTGTGATAATAACTGTGGTTTAATATTTCTTGTGACATTTAAATCAACTTCAACTGTATCCTTTATATATTTTTTTTTGTAAATAAAATTAAAAATTTGTTTAAAAAGTAAATTTAAAATAATAAATAAAATTAAACACATACTGTTGCAAAAAAAGATGTTGTTCCATCTGTTATATCAAAAATTCCTGGAAATAATTTTATCCAAGTGTCATCACCAAAAAAAGAAATAGATTTATTATTTCCATTAATTTTCATCTGAACTAACCAGTTATCACTATTTTTTAATGTGGAAGATGTATCAGAATCTGCAATGTTAAGTATTGCATCTAAAAAATTTGGTACAGTTCCTAAAATTTTTTAAGATCAATTTTAATAAATAATTTTAACCAAGAAATTCATTGATCAATATTAATATTAACCTGTGGTAAGTGCTTTTATCCTTGGCAGAGTAACTGTTGGAGCTGTTGCAATAGCTGTGTATGGAATTGCATAATGATTTTCTATAAGACTAACAAAATATCATCAAAAATAAGTCCTTTTTTTTTTTTTTTTTTTTTTTTAAAAATATAATAAATTTTGTTGTCAACACAAAATACCTTTTAACAAATTTCATTTCAGAATTTTCTCCAAAAACAAAGTCACTAACAAAACATTTACAATTAAATAAAATTATTTTATTCAAAAATAAAATTAATTGTTTTATATTTTATAAACACCTTCTTAATGCATCAATTAGTACCAAGACAAGTCTATCAAATTTGGGTGTTGGTGGTAAAATTTTCTCGCCAGTTGGTAAAGGTGGAAACTGATCATAGTTGGCAAACCCTAATAAATTTGTTTTATATGGGAAAAATCCTTGTGAAAATATTATTAGTCCTAGAAATTGTAATAAAAGAATAATAAAGAGATTTGTCCAATTTTTATTTAGGAAAATATTCATTGTTAGAATTAAAAGTGTATAGTGCAAGTCACTTAGTCACTGAACTTTTTGTGCTACACCGCCATTTTTTGAGAAAAAAATTTCCAATCAAAAATGCAATAAAATTTGTATGGTCACGTGTTTTTGAAGATTGTCAAATGCAGAATTTTATCCAAATCATATAAACATGTGTATATC